ACTTTCTTGTTTTTTCTTTTGAAGATATTTCACTTCTCATCCAAGAAGCTTCTTCAGCTCCAGCTGGATGGTGGAGAATGGAAAGATTTATACTCCTTGTAGACAGCTGGTCATTTGCATCCTATTAGAGGGTCGTTGAGGCCATTTGGATGTTTATCTGTCGATGAAAAGTGAAATGTCTTCAAAGAAAAAACATGAAAGCCCAGTTGCCTCCTGAAAAAAAGCACCTTTGGGACAACCGTCACCTGGATGATTGAGAATCTCAGTAGACTATTAGAATGCAAAGTTGCATTGCAGATTTGCCTAGCACGTGACTTTTCTGGTGATCGTAAAAAGAAACTCAATGAATTATTTACTTTATTGATTTCTTAAATTTATTCGTCACTCTACTCATTACATGACGCAACTCTGACTGGGTTACAAAATCAAAAAGCAATCAAACAATACAAATATATTTGTATGATGAACACTACTCTAATGAAGGATGTAGGCCTAAACCCTAAATTGGCACTAGATAAGAATTAATAGAATTCAAAAGGGGTTGAAGTTAGATCACTTGTGGGAATGTAATGATTCTAAGCTGATTCCTCTCTTGACTCTGCCCCCAAACTCTGCCTCTCCTTCTCCTACAGAAAAGCATGTGAAATATGTACAGATGTAAACACAGAGTGCGCAAGCTTGTCTATTCTGCAGCTTGCTATTTGTGATTTGCTGTTTTGTGCCTGTTCCTTCTCTTGCTATCATTTCTATGTCAGAAATTCTTTCGGAAATGAGTTACCGTGCAAGACAATTTTGACTAATACTCTGATATGCATAACTTCTCTGTTTCCATTTTGGTAGTTGTGTTGATTGTTGTAATTAGATGTAGTATAATTGTGATATGTATTAAAGGGACAATCTTTAATTCAATAAACCTGTGTAACTATCGTACTCTGTACTGTTGTCTTCTGTGTGCTTGTGATTCCTGGAGCAAAGATCTTGATTGATTGGTTGGTTGATTAATTGATTGATTATATGTCATCAAGTAATTTGAACCATACAGATAGATTTTCTCAGTGATGATCTATCTTTAACCTGTTCTTTTAAATCTTCCAACAATGGCATTTTGGCTAGGAAGGAAACAGAAGTTAAGTGGAAAGGGAATACTGTAATTTCACTATATTTTCCCTTTCTTGAGCCTCCAGCCCCCGAATCACCCTTGTTGTTCTTCTCTGCATTCTTTCCAGAGTCTGAACATCCTTTTTGTGTTGTGGTGACCAAAACATGGCCCTTTCAATGCCATGTAAAGTGGTACTAAAATAGATACAGATTTAAAATATAAAAATTTTAGTTCCTAATCACAATTAATGTTTTTACCAGGGTTCTCTGTGCACCTTCAGAAAGCAATTCATCAAAACACCATGCCAATGTCTTATATACTTTATTAAAGAATACCTTTTCCATAATTTGGAAAATGTAATCCGTTTTGGGTGGCATCTGTTGGGTCTGGAAGAATTTTCCTATGATTTTTTTTCCTTTGGAAAACCTAAATACCCAAATCCTTCTGTTTTAGTCACTGTTTGCTTTTTTGCGTCCATCATCCACTGCATTGAATAATTAAATCCCATGACTTTGGTGCCAAATGAGCAAAAACTTCTGCAATGTAAAAACACTCATTTGTCCAAACTACCCAGCCCTGGGACTATTCTAAATTAATTAAAGTGCTAAAATAAACTTCCGGTCTCTGTCCAGGCAATTATCTGGAAAAAAAAAACTGATTGTTAAAAATGACAAATCTGGATCTATCCCAATTGTGGGAATAATATACTACATGGATGAATTTAAAGTAGGACCTTAAACCACCAGATGGCCTCAGTGTATGTTTCTTAAAGAATAAAAAAGAATTGCAGTGTTTCTTTCAGTAACACATACAATGATGTGACTTCATTTTAAAAGAGAAAAATGTCTTTAGAATGACCACACCTAATTTTTGGTTTGGTATCGGTCAGTCCTAGAGGAGATCAACCCTGACTGCTCTTGAGAAGGCCAGATCCTGAAGATGAAACTCAAAGACTTTGGCCACCTCATGAGAAGGAAGGAAAGACTCCCTGGAGAAGAGCCGAATGCTGGGAATGATGGAAGAAGAAGAAGGTGATGGCAGAGAATGAGGTGGCTGGATGGAGGCACTGAAGCAGTAGGCATGAGCTTAAATGGACTCTGGAGGATAATAGAGGACAGGAAGGCCTGGAGGAATGTTGTCCATGGGGTTGCGATGAGTCGGACATGACTTTGCAACTAACAACTACAGCATAAGATGGACAGAGGAACTTTCAAGACCTTCTTATCATACCTTATAACAGGGGTGTCCAACCTTTCACCTTCCCTGGGCCACATTAGAAGATGAAAATTTGGTTTGGGCCACACATAAAATAAAATAACAGTAACGATACCTGATCATCCCAAAAAACCATAGAAAACATAGTTAACATATTAAATTTATTTGGAAATGAAGTTAGTGAGATGTTTTTATTATTTATTATTAATTATTTATTAAAAAAAAATTTTATCACGGTTTATTTTCTGGCCAAATTTTGTGGGGGTGGGGGAGAAACCTTGCCCGCTTCGCGCCTACCTCTCCTCCTGCAAATGGCCCGGCTGGATGAGGCAGGAGTGGAAGGCAGAAGCAGCAGCGGCGGCGGGGACAGAAGCGGCGGTGGTGGTGGGGGCAGAAGTGGCAGCAGGGGCAGAAGTGGCAGCGGGGGCAGCGGCGGCGGGGGAAGAAGCAGCGGCAGGGGCAGAAGCAGCAGCGGCGGCAGGGGCAGAAGCAGCAGCGGCGGCGGGGGAAGAAGCAGCGGTAGTGGTGGGGGCAGAAGTGGCAGCGGGGGCAGAAGTGGCAGCAGGGGCAGCGGCGGCAGGGGAAGAAGCAGCGGCAGGGGCAGAAGCAGCAGCGGCAGCAGGGGCAGAAGCGGCAGCGGGGGCAGAAGCAGCAGCGGCGGCGGGGGAAGAAGCGGCGGCAGGGGCAGAAGCGGCGGCGGCAGAAGCGGTGGCGGCAGAAGCAGCAGCAGTGGCGGGGGCAGAAGCGGCGGCAGTGGCGGGGGCAGAAGTGGCAGCGGGGGCAGAAGCGGCGGCGGGGGCAACGGCGGTGGCGGCAGAAGCGGCGGTGGTGGCGGCAACAGCAGGAGATGGCACTCTGATGGCGCCCACCTTTTCTGTTGCTGCTTGGCCTGGCGCTCGCCTCGCCCTGCCTCGCACCTGCCTCTCCTCCTCCTCCTCCTCGCTGGCTCTGGCACGAAGGTTGAGGTGGGCACTGGGCCGCATTACGAGGTGACCTGGGCCACATGCAGCCCGTGGGCCGCAGGTTGGACAAGCTTGCCTTATAACAATAAACCTCACTCCTGGGATTGTTGTCTGTCTTAACCTTGCCTGCCTCAAAGTAGACAAACTATTTTCAAACTATTTTCCAAAGCACCAAAGGCAAGATGAGAAATAATGGATGGAAACGAACAATGAGAGAAGCAACCTACAACTAAGGAGGAATTTCCTAACAGTGAGAGCAATCAACCAGTGGAACAGAAGTTGCCTTCCGAAATTATGGAGGCTCCGTCAATGAAGGCTTTCAAAAAGAGACTGGACAACCATTTGTCTGAAATGGTTTAGAGTCTCCTGATCAAGTAGGGGGTTGGACTAGAAGACCTCCAAGGTCCCTTTCAACTCTATTATTCTATGTACTGTATTCAAAGGGCTAACTCACATGCAGGGAAATCCACAGAAACAGGATCAAAAATCAGGAGAGCAACCAGAACTTGCAATGAAAGCTCGGTCCTTTCTGACATGTATTGACCTTTGACCCTTCCCTGCAGACACCTGTACATACATTCCAAATAGAGAGCTTACATATAAAGCAAGTGAACCAGAGGTGGATATTCAACAGGTTCTGACCAGTTCTGGAGAACCGGTAGTGGAAATTTTGGGTAATTCGGAGAACCGGCAAATCCCACCTCTGACTGGCCCTGCCAACCCCATCTATTCTCTGACTCCCATTGAGTCCCAGCTGATCGGCTGGGTCTTCTTTGGTTGCCCTGCACAGGAGAACAGAGCTGGAAAGCAGGTTGGTGGGGAGGGAAGGGGATTTTGCAGTAACCTTCCCCCAGGAGTGGAGAGGGAATGGAGATTTTGCAGTATCCTTCCCCTGCCATGCCCACCAAGACACACCCACCAAGCCTCACCACGCCCACCAAGCCATGCCCACAGAACTGGTAATAAAAAAAAATTGAATCCCACCACTGCCCCAGGGGCCTTAAATTGTTTCATCAGAAATCATTGAATCTAGCCTTCTAATTCTGCAATCATTCAAGTTGAATCCTAAAGTCCACTGGCACTGAACCAAGGCCAAATGCCAATTTGATCTAAAGAGATCCCAGAATTCCTTTCCTTGGGAATCCTGCACTGGACGTTGTGATCATTGTATGTCAATACTCTGTGAATGCAGCTGAAAACTGCGACTCATTTTTAGCTTGCCGTTCCTTACTATTCTTTATTTTGTTGTTGTTTCAACCCTGTCTCACCGTCTATTTTCCGCATCCCATTGTTCATATTTTGAGCCGTTCTATCTCTAAACTCCAGGTGCTGGTTGATAGGGAAGAATTAATACCTTTATACCGTTAGCAGATTTCCCTGCATTTTGTCGTCCTCTGTCACTGAAAGCAAGAGGTTAGATTAATGTCACTTGTTAACCTCTCTGGTCCTTCACACCCGTGAAGATTTATTCGACATGTTTCTTAGCTGTTCATAAAACCATCCAGAAAAAAAAAAAATCTTATGAAAATTGCAAAGGAAAATTGCAAAGGCATATGCAGTAAGGAAATGAAACTAATTGTTAGATCATGTTATCTAAATTGCTTTGAGAAAGGGCAGAGTTAATTTGGGCCAGACAAAATGCACTGATTAATTTGATTTATGGTTTCCAAAGAGATAAGCCTGGGAGGCTGTAAAATGAAGCTTTGTGGGCAGCAATTGGACTGCTCCCCTCTCCCTGAATTTGATGATGCTACCAATCTAATTTACCGTGACTAATCCCAGGAAGATTTGAAATTGGCATGTTATGGTAAAACTAAGCACAGTTTTGGTAAGAACTGACTATACAATATGACTAATTCCTTTAAATCAGAGCTGACAAAAACTGATGCTGTAAGCAAATGCATTTGTCTCACGTCAGTAGAGTGTCTAATGTAAAATGGTGCATGTATTGTAGACTTGTCGTTTACTACAAGTTGTTGTTATGATGTATTAAAGTCTATGTTTTACAGAAGATAAATGTTGATTCAGCTTTGGAAAAGGCTAGAGACATTAGCATGCCAACGTTTAGAAATGTTTAAGAGCTGTGGGGGCATCGTGGTTAGAATGCAGTACTGCTGGCTACTTCTGCGGACTGCTGGCTGCCTGAAATTTGGCAGTTCACATTTCACCAGGCTCAAGATTGATTCAGCCTTCTATCCAGGAGTGGGAGTCAAATTTTTTAACAACCAGTTATGTGGGCGTGGCTTAGTTGGTGGGTGTGGTTTGTTATTGGCTGGGCATGGCCAATTCAATATCACTCACATCAAGGCACGTATCTCCTTGCCTGGCCTCTCATGACTGTAGGGATGCTGCAACAGTCGTAAGTGTGAAAAGGGGTCATAAGGCACTTTTTTCAGTGCCTTTGTAACTTTGAATAGCCACTCCACACAAGCAAAGTACCAGCAAAGGAGGAAAAAAAAAACTCCAGAGAAGTTCCAGAGACAGGAAGTCTAGTCCTGCCAAGAATGTAATAAGGGTTAACGAAGAGGCAGTTTCTGTAAGCAACACCAGAATGTTTCCTTCCTGCCTTCCTTACAGGATTAGCCCAGTAATTTCTTCTAACAACCAGTTCTATGAACTGCTTAGAATGTTAACAACCGGTTCTAGCAAATAGGTGCGAACTGGTAGAATCCCACCCCTGCTTCTATCCTTCCAAGGTGTGTAAAATGAGGACCCAAAATTGTTGGGGGCAATATGTTGACTCTGTAAACCACTTAGAGAGGGCTGTAAAGCACTGTGAAGCTGTATATAAGTCTGAGTGCTAAGGTGCTATCTTATGGTCCAAGCAAATCATGACATCTGCAAAACAACAATTCAAAAATCCTTATCAGGGATGCAGAAGTTTTCAGAAGTTGAAATTAAAATCGGAAACCCCAAGCATGTAAAGCAAATTGGAGCTATCTGGGGGGTTGTATGTATTGAAACTGATGCTAAATTAATT